CTAAATATATTTTACTACGTAAACTTGCATCAATTCTGATAATAAGAACTGAGCCTGAAGAGATTAAATTGTCAAACTGGAATCTTGAGATTTTGAGATTTTAGTGGAAAAGCAAATAACAGTTAGAAGTAGCCCAATACTGGAACGCTAAGGGAATTGGGAACTATTTGATTTTTCTTTTTTTATTGTCCAACATCACCCAGTATTATCCTTTATTTCCCTGAAATTGTATTCTCCAGGGAAATTTGATTGTGCCACTATTTTTACTTAAGCTTCTCCAACTTTTCTCTTCTTGTTCCAACTGTATTCATTCATTTTCATTTTTTTATTCATTCATTTTCATTCATTCATTCATCCATTCATTCATTGTTAAGCATGTTACTTGACAGTAGAAACACCCTTACAGCTCATCTTTATCTCTACATAAATTTCTCTACACAGTCTCCCACAGCTTATGTCAAAGTAGCATTTTATCACACATATGGAAGCCATAGAGCAGTGGAAATTTCCATCTTCAGAAATAACCAGTGGAGAGCTGTGAGTGAGTTGCAGGGAACAAGACGTTTGATGACACTGATAAACACCTTTTTTTTTTCCCTTCTGACAGTGTAGATCTCCTTTATGTCTCACTTCTGCTTCTTTCCTTTTTTAATTCCTACTTAAAATACTCTATCTTGTGAGACAGCAAATGCCAGTTCCAGTTAGAGATCAGCCATAATCTCATCACTGGTTCACTCATCCACTGTCCATCACCACGAACTGCTCTTCTGAGAGCATTCCTGATGTTATGCCTTTATCCACATGCATAACAGAAAATTTCTATAAGAAGATAGCCTGTTTATTACAAACCATGAGGTTATCCTGTGATAGAAATAGAGAATATCAAACCAGTGGCATGTTCATATCAACTGCAGTTAGTCAAATTGATGTTCCAAATGAAAGGCAGTTGATGTGCATTTCCCTCTTCTCTTGTATATGAGAAGAGGGAAAATAGTGGAAGGATTTATGAAAGACTGGAAAATCCTTCACAATTAACACCTTTGTTTCATTGTTTTGTCCTTATTTGTCAATACATTAGGTAATAACTTCTGGGGGAGTGACTTACCATGACCAGCCTTGGCATAAAGAATGCTTTGTATGCGCTGGGTGTAAAACACAGCTGTCTGGACAAAGGTTTATTTCCAAAGATGAGTATCCATACTGTGTAGACTGTTTCAGCAAACTGTATGCTAAGAAGTGTGCTGCTTGCAAGAAACCTATTACAGGTGAGTCTCATTTTTTAGAGGGAACTAGACACTGACAAATCATTAGTCTCCTCTCAAAGCAGAATTTTGCTTTAGAAAACAGCATTAAAAATAGTTCCATCATAAGGGAAGACTGAAGAAGTTAACTACTAGAGAAACTCACTCTCCATCACATATACTGCATTTTGCTGGGACATGTGGATCATACATGTTCCCTAAATGCTCAGCAGTTCTTTTATGTGGCAAAAGAAGTTCCTCCATTGTTGGATTTAGTCCTTTTGCACTAAAATTCATCCTTAAGAATATAAGAAAAGGCATTTTTTTGCCTCTTCCCAGGGCAGTACACAAAAGTCCCTCATGTCTGTAATTTCTTCAGCTTTGTTTTTAAATGCAAATGTGATGAAACTGGACAGAAATTAACTGCCTGCTGGTAAGACTCACCTGTCAAATTAGAAAGCTAGCCAAAGGCAACAAAGCTCTATTGCATGCCTGCTTGTGTACTTAGATGATTTATAATTAGACATATATGTCATTAGTCTATGCCAGCAGTTTTCTGAGAGCATTTGCTGGTGTTCTGCACTGTAATTCTATTATGTGTGGCCTCAAGTGTTGAAGAGTCCTGCCCGATTGTTACAGGCGCATGCTGCCTATGTAAGTGGGCAAAGAAAATGATGAATACCCAATCAAATGGACATGATTCTACAAATACACCCAAACCAAATCAAAACAAACAACAGAACAAAAAAAACTCCAGCCCCCCACATTATTTTATTTCAGATACACATGCTGGGAACTCTGTGATCTGTAATTTCTGAAAGACTCCATCTTGAAGAAATTTAGGTAGAAACAATTAAATTTCACTCAGTGTTGTATAGAAACTACATATATAACACATTGCAGATAATTTTAATGAGAATTTGTTGGGAAGATCAGCAAACCTGGGGAAGATCAGCAAACCTGGATGGACATTCTGATAAACCTATTCTGTTCAGAGTTCATAATGGGATATGAAAACAAACAAATAACTTGTGGCTTTGCTTAAAATATTCTCACTATTTTATTTTAGATTTTTCTTTTTTAAATTCAGCCAACAAAGGATACTTCAGACTATTGATTTTTGTTCACTTTTCTGCTTGCTATGTGAACTACAACCTGATCACACAACAGAAATCACTGCTGCATTTCTGAACCATGCACAGAAGATTCACATCTTCTCTCATGATCTCTTTCAGCTCCTGGAAGTGCCAAATTTATCTCCTTTGAAGAGCGCCAGTGGCATGGGGAATGCTTTAACTGTGCGAAATGCTCTGTTTCACTGGTGGGCCAGGGATTCCTCACTCAGCAGGATGATGTCCTTTGCCATGAATGCGGCTCTGCTTCATAGTTCTGTGGAGAGCTGTACAGCTGCATTATTCTTACTTAGTAACAATATACTTCATTACTCTGCAGTAAGAAAACCATGTAAGAGGTATAACAGTTATTTAGTCATAGAATCATAGAATAGTTAGGGTTGGAAAGGACCTTAAGATCATCTAGTTCCAACCCCCCTGCCATGGGCAGGGACACCTCACACTAAACCATATCACCCAAGGCTCTGTCCAACCCGGCCTTGAACACTGCCAGGGATGGAGCATTCACAGTCTCCCTGGGCAGCCCATTCCAGTGCCTCACCACCCTGACAGGAAAGAATTTCCTCCTTATATCCAATCTAAACTTCCCCTGTTTAAGTTTTAACCCATTACCCCTTGTACTATCACTACAGTCCCTAATGAAGAGTCCCTCCCCAGCATCCCTATAGGCCCCCTTCAGATACTGGAAGGCTGCTATGAGGTCTCCACACAGCCTTCTCTTCTCCAGGTTGAACAGCCCCAACTTTCTCAGCCTGTTTTCACACGGGAGGTGCTCCAGTCCCCTGATCATCCTCGTGTCCCTCCTCTGGACTTGTTCCAACAGTTCCATGTCCTTTTTATGTTGAGGACCCCAGACCTGCACACAATACTCCAAGTGAGGTCTCACAAGAGCAGAGTAGAGGGGCAGGATTGCCTCCTTTGACCTGCTGGTCATGCTGTTTTTGATGCAGCCTAGGCTACGGTTGGCTCTCTGGGCTGTGAAAGTAATCATTCAAGTATCTTTCCAACAGCAGTTTAATTCTATCACAGCTCTCAACTGCTTATAAAAAAAAATTAAACAACCCCAATACTGGTTAAAAAAAAATAACACAGAAAAGATTCGTGCACATTTAAAATCTAACTGCAGTATGTTTTGCAGTATGTTTTACAGTATGTTTCTCCTTGTAACACACTGCACTCTGCTGTTAGAAGCTCAAAAATTTACATTTGAAGTCCCTTAAACCAAAGAGCATTCTGAAAAGTTTATATGGTATATGACTAAGAATGAGGCATTAGCACTGCTTCACAGGTGCAGACCTTGGTGTAGAAAGCTGGGCATGCGCAGATTTTCTTTGGATCATCACACTGATAAGAAAAACTTGTAAATATCAACTTCCTGCATTCTTTAGGAAAAAAAAGCTGCCAACAAAGCAGGCAGAAACTGGGAGGAAGGGGTACTTTTACAAAGAGGGCTTCCAAGAGCCAGGGCCAGATAAAGACAAAAAAGGCTATTTTTCCTCTGCTTACTGAGATTGCTCCTCAGAAACACTGTCTTTAGTCATCCAAAGAACTTGACAGACAGGTCTTCTCCCAAAACTGGGTGACTGTACTTAATTTTTCAGGCATAACTGCTTTATAACCTAAAGAAACACATATTTTGAGCTACTGCAAGAGATTAAGGTTGTCTGAGTTTGGCTAGTGCTGATGTACACTTTCCCACAGTTAATATGCCTTAAGACTCGGCCTCCATTGTCTTCACTCGACCTTCAAATAATACACACACAAAAAGTACATATTTTTATTAGTAGACACAAGAGACAATCCATACTTATCCCTTCAACCATGTACTTCACTCAAAATCCATTTGACAGCAATCAAATTATAGTAAATGGCCTTACCATTTCCACACTGTGAGGTCTTTGAAGCAGAGCGTACCCCTTTTCTTTTAAATATGTGCTTGTCTATAGCAGACTATAATCTCTTCAAAATGGATACTGACTCATTTTGCCATGTGCCACATCCATTTGCCAATATTATGTCACGAACTGGTAATGTTGTCATTGAAAGCTAGACACTCCTTGCTTGTAGTACAAGGTATTAGTTTCTAGGTAGCTGGCTTTGAGAAGGTTATACCTGTTTGCTGAGCTTCAGCACTCAATTGTCTATTATTAAAGGTCATGTAGAGCTGAGTTACAAGCATTTCTCTTCTTCCTTCATCAATGCTGTGTATTACAGTGGCTTGATTCATGTTACAGTGTCTGTACCAGGCTGATGTGAACTGTGCAGTGATATTAAGAATGGCAGATTTTGCACCGCTCAGGACTTGTTTAGTCCTCATCTCGCACACCTCTAAGGCATACATTCTCCTTTAGACTCTGACCTTAAGTACCTAGAGTTATTTGGCTGACTTGAGTGGGCTTTATTCATACTGAAGACAGCCATTGCTTTAGGTAGAAATGTAAAAAAAATAAAAAAGTAAAATAATGGCGTTTGTGCATAGCTAATCCCGAGCTGAACGGCAGTGGCATAAAATCAATGTGGGTAATGACTGACCAACAAGTACATAGCAGTCTGGTTTCCAGTCAATAAAATATTGATCTTTTGTTCTATGTGGTGTTCATTTTTAGGTTTCAGTTTCTTCTTTCATGGCAGCTTTTATTGCAGTCTAGCATTTCATTAGTTTATGCCTTTTCATTTTATCCCTGATGCTTTCTTTTCTATTTTCAGATTTCACATGGCTGATACAGGTTCTTGGTAAGACTGGGATTCCCATAAATAGAAATAGGTTTCATTACCTTAAATATATACACACATAATCAGTGGTTCAAAGATACGTATGATGTTCCAAAAATGTGCACTGAGTTATCAGAAATGAACCCATTAGTAAATGTTAATTGTCTTAAATTTTAAATGAAAATGATGAATCACCAGACACAGGCTTGTCTGCGGGGTGCACCTTTTGTTTGTGCTGTGTGAAATAACATTCAGCAAATTGCAAGAACGTGGTTTAGGCCCCTTATTCGGTCCTGTCTGAACAACCTTCCAGCTTAATTACAAAGTGACGCAATTACCAGGCAGTATCCTAAGACATGACGGAGTCACAGGTCAGGCACACTGATCGTGATATTCCCAATCTTCCAGTCTTAACATTTAGGGAGATGAAATTCTTCTCTGACTCATCAACTAATTATATTTTTAGAAATGCCAACTGAATTATTTATTTCTCCCGCAGTAAATACACTAGATTCAAATCTGGAACTGAGAATTTTTACTTCACAGTAATGAGAAGTTATATATGTGATTGCTATAAATAGTTTGAATAAAAGTAATATTAGGTATCGGTTTAACGTTTCTTAGCCTGTATCACCAGCTACCAATGCCAAAACATAAATACAGTATTCTTCTTGTGCTGGGTTGACCCTACCTGGATGCCATTGTATGGTTTTATTTTAAAATATATCTAGTTCTTCCCTGTGCATTATCTGTTCAGCTCTAAGGTAATCACATTGCTTTTGTTATGGTCAAACTCAATTATCCACAGCTGCAACGGTGTCTCTAATGCCCTGATCACATCTCCACTGTACTCATAGTAATCGCAGGGGACTGGGAGGGAGGCTGCCATTTGGGACTAACTTCTGAGGTGTGAAGTAGATGCCCTATTACCTCCCTCAGTGCTTAAGGCTAAACTTCAAGTCTTTAACACAGAAATAACATGATTAAAATACAAAGAAGAGCCCTACAGTATTGTTACCAAGTGACACTCCTCTACCTGTATTTCTGAATGTCACATTTTTCACTCTGAGACAAGTTCATATAACGTAAGCAAGTATCAGCCTTTTCCTGGACTACAACTTGTAAGATCCAGGTATTTTTTCAACAGATGTAGCAGGCAGCACAGAGCAGCAATAATGCTGGAAGCTAGGATCACTTCCCTGCATTTCACAGGTGGAGGCACATGCTCCATGACTTATGTCTAGGATAAAACCTCGACATTCTCCATTCTCTCTCCTTGTCCTTGGTTTTCTGGAAAGAAAAACTGTGCATCTAGGCAAGGGAAGAGTTAGGGCATAGTCTGGCCATATCAGTGAAGTGGGTGTCAAATCGCAATGTAGCTTTTCTGCAGTATCCTAACACAGGAAAGTCCAACTAGTTCTTGCATTCTACCAATGGATATTGTCCCAGGCTTTCATCACGGTAAGAGTGGCTCAGTGCAACAACTGGAGCATTAGGATGGGAAAGGTAAGGTTTTGCAAGGCCTTCTGGACCTGTGGTTTCAAACACTTTATGGGCCCCATCATAAGAAGGGAAGTACCTGTTTATACCCAAGTTGACCAGCAATTTCATCATCTGGTCAAAGCTTTTATGAATTTCATTTATTTAACAGAATGGATGTAGATAGGTACATTGTATTTTAGGAAGAGAAGTAAAAACACAGTGACATTTATATGATGACAGATATCAATAGCTGAAGGAGAGTAATATAGAATGAGTGACTAAGTGTAAACTGGGGGATCATTTCTGTAAACAAAAAAGCTGAATGGATTCAAAACTATAGGCAGAACAAACTTGTTTACCAATCAAGCAGGAATGCTTCAATAAATCAGCTACATTCTTGTTAATAATATCTCAAAGAAAACGTGCTTCTGTGTATGCTTGTTCACTGTCAAACTGCAAAAACTTAAAGACAGTCACAGGAAACCTGGCAACTTAAACCAAAGTGCAAAATGCCTAGCATGGTTATAGACTACTGTTTCCAAATGTAAGTTTCAGTTCCTCATATTCTGAAGTACAAGTATTTTGATACAGAAAGAGGACAGATAAGACCTTTGGAGGACAGATACATTTGGCTGCAGACAGGGATGTAACACAGGGATGCTATCCAATTGGCAGTGCACAGCTGCACTGGAGGATCTAGGATATATGCTTTGCCCTTAATCATTAATCTTTTTTATCTTGTTAGTGAGAACATTAACCCAATAGTGTCCATTTATACATTTCTGTAGACTTTCATCTTGTGTTTTTCACTCAAGGGAAAAATATAAGGAGCCAAGTGTTTATTGCGGCTCCTTGAAGATGAGGCCATCTCTACAGCATCTCTACAGCACAGTCACACAGACATGTACAATGTTAGCAAATATGGCCCATAAGAACCTGGATTTGCCCAGTGAAAACTAATTCAATGTCAGAAGAACAACCACTGTACAGCATTATATCCAAGCTAATAAACCTTATCTCTGTCTTGGGTATAATTCAATATCAACTTGTGCCTCTGCTGTATGTTCTTCAGTGTCCTCTCCTGTAAGATACTCAAGACTATAGGTACTCACCTGATTCACTGCAGATCTTCTTTTAGGGCTGACTGAATTATTAAATTGCTGCATTGAGGAAGTGACACTACCACCACATCTCTCAAAAACAGGAGCCACGAGTCCCTTTCATGCATAGTCTCTGTGAGGCTTTGACAGTGAATCACATTAAGACAAAAAAGAAACACTTGGCTCCTGCTTGTAGCCTAGGCACAGGTATGAAGGTGACCACCAAAATACTCGGATAAGACCACTTACAGACCAAGGAAAGGAGCATGGCCTTGGGCATCTGAGGAACTGAGTCAAGCAGAAAACTGCCTACCAAAATTAACTGAGCAAATCTGGGGTGGGTCAGATACTTCACTACAGGACCTCAGTACTCTCTCAAGTCACTTGTTAGCTCTAGCCCAACACCTGGTGTTCTAATTCTCTTCAGGTGCATTACTGTAATTTCCACTTGTAAGCAGGAGAGCAGTTCACTGCAAAAGGACCTCAGTCTGGTACAGTGGCACTACCTTAGGGGTCTCCTGGGTGACTCACTAAATAGAGGATCCACCCAGCTGGAGGTAAAAAAAAACCAAATAGCCTTAGATAGTTGTTCATATTTGTGCCCCAGCACTCAGCTTAGAGAGCTTTTATAGCAAAGGCATACATTCGGTAGCCATACCCATATTGTTCCTGGATGAAGATCCTCATTTGACCATCTCTGTCTTCACCCTAGACTTTGGATTAGCTTTTGCTAGACTAATTACCAAATAAATACAAGCACAGCTTTCCTGGATTTGGGAAAAACAAGCAAAAATAACCCAACAACATAGCCAAATAGTGCAAAATAATGTAAACATTTTATCCAGTTCTGCAGAATTACACTTTTGTTGATCTTGTTTCCCAAAGGAAAACAAAACAAAAAAGGCAAAAAGGACCAATTAGTTTTTGAGAACAAGCCCTTTACTTATAAAAAAATAAAAACAAAATCAAGCCCTTAGTTAAACATTTTCATTGGAAAGACAGCAATCTGAGTAGAGATTTCTGGCTCTGAAAGCAGATGGCCATAAAAGGCTGCTAATACGAGGAATGGGACTTACCTCAAATAATAAACAAAATGATAACAAATCATGGTAGCTTAGTGCATACTTCATAAGCCTGTGACAGAGGACAAAGCTCAGGACACCAGTGTCCTGTTGGGGGCCAGCCTGTTCTCATGAATCCTTGGAGAAATGACAAGTTGGGTGACCCTAATATCACATTCCAGTGTTTCCAAACATTTGGATTTCTTTAACCTTTAACTCCTGAATTTCCTGGCCTTCTCACAATAGCAATCCTATTTCTTCTTAGCTTGATTCTTTTATAATTGCTACAAAATCCTTATTAAATCTGAACTCACTCGAAAGTAAACCCGCCCTGGTTGAAGGGGAGGGGGGGGGACGGGAATGGGACATGACACAACAGACAATGTCCTTGGTTACCAAGATCTTTGATTTAAAGCATATTTTCACTTGCCTATAAAACACTGTTGAACTTAAATGCTTTGAGCTGAGCTCTGTGCCAGACTTTCTCAGGCCAATTCCTGCTTTCCACTTCACCTTTTTCCTTTTCATTTCCAGAAAATTCCAGCCAAAGCCATCTTAAATTTCACAAAACAAGCACAGAAAGAAAAGATAACGTTTGCCCTATGCTAAAGAAACCTGAAACTTTTCTTTGAGAAGTTCAAGTGCTCCACTTAATTTTGGCTCAGGAACCTACCTGACAATAAAAAGGAAAACTTTCTGTCACAGAGATGCCTCCCACCATCCCCACAAAAATCCACTTATCCTAATTACATCTCTTCCACATTAAGAAATTGCAGGCATATTTCACACAGGGCAAATGTGTGGTCCAGGTACTATGTACTCGGTGACAACCACTTGTAAGCATTTTAGGTTGGGTAAAGGTTTCAGTTCCTGAGCCATAAAATAGAGATAACTCCCTATCTTGGAGGAATCAAGTCAGATAATTGTGAAAACTGATCTACCTAAAACACTGTCATAGCAGACCACTGATGACCAATCTGAGGAGGCCAGACTCTGAGTAAAGATCCTAGTTTTGCCTTCAGAATAGCTTTTAGCATGGAGCTGCATAGTGAGCAGTGCTGAGTCCCAGAAGCAGGATGATGCTCACTGTGAGAGTGAACCACTATTCATGGATGATGGGGAATTAGTGCCCTAAGAAAATAGCCATTTGGGGCTGTTTTGCTTAAAGCCTGTGCTATGCAGGAGAGGTAAGGGTGCCACAGAGGCAGCTCTAATTCCAGTGTTTCCTCACCAGGATCAGAGACAAGCTCTGAAAAGTCCAACTCAAATTAGCCAGGATTAGTTACTTTTATTTTCGTTTAACATTTCTGGTAACCCACCAAAGCCCACAAGGCTTTTCAGAAGAGGGCTTGAGAGGGACTTTTTGCCCTCTGCTCATGCCAAG